ACATTGAAAAATCACTAAACTGACACATGAAACTCATGAAACACTATAGAAGAATATGAAACACATGATAAAAATGTATAAACACAAGACACATGAGCAAACACATGGTTTTGGAAGATGGTAGAAAGAAAAATTGGAAGAATTGTAGGAGAAAAGTGAGTTTTATGTGGATGTTTCAACAAAAATATAGGTATTTATAGAGTTTTGGTGAATTTTGAGTTAAATAATTTTTTATAATTATTTTAACCGTTGAATTTAAATTTGGGCTGTTAGTTTTTCCTTTTTACCGTTATATTTGATCATATTCGATCTTAGTCGTTGGATTCAATAAATTTATAAATATAAAACAAAAATATTAACTAAATTAAATGTGGACTGTTGGATAACCAACAACCCATTTGAATGTGAACTATTGATCAACTAAAAGAGCCGTTGGGCTCAATTTTATTGGCAGACAAGTGGGAGAGATACCCATGTGGGTGGGGGCTCCACCACTAATCTTGGCCTAAATCCTGGCCTAAGTATGGCTTTTTTTTTTTTTTTTTTTTTTTTTTTTTTTTTAGGTTTTAGGTTTTAGGTTTTAGGTCCAAATTAGAACTTGGGTTGGAATGGATTGGGAGGGGAATAAAAGGGGATTTATAGGTTTTAGGCCATAGGTTTGAGTTGGCCTAATATAAAGCATGGTTTAAATAGTAAACTCTCAAGCAAACCCTAATAAGCAAAATACCAAAAGTACCCTAAAATCCAACAGAAGGATTATATGAGGCTCTGGAAGTATTACTTCAATGTATTCCTAGGAAAATAGTGAATCTCATATTTCATTATTTCCTTTTGAGTATAAATTTATCTTTTTAGACTGTTTAATGACTAAAGTTATTCATTGTCGCTTGAATTTGTTACAATTAAAATCATGTTTATTCACAAAGATAAATTCAGAATATACTTATACAAAGATTTGCATTGCAAAGAAATATTCAACGAGATACCCCAAACAAATATGGGGATAAATTCCATAACTTTTATTGTGATTCACCTCTTTTATTTAGGAAGACATGTTAGCTAAAGAAACAAAGAGATTGATAATCAAGAGATTTAACATGTAGCACAGTTTATTATCAAGTATCAACTAACACAACATATTTTTAGGAGCACGTGATTAAAAAACCTCTTGCATGCGCGTGAACGCATGCGGAGAGGCTAGTGCTCATATATGATAGCGTCAAAATCGTAATACAAAAAAACAGAACATGAAAACCGCAAAAAACAAATAAAAACAGGTAAATATAAAGAAGCACGACTGAAAGTTGAAACCATCTCAACCCAGCAAACTCTAGCGGTTGCAGAATTTGCACGATGGAAACCGCAGCTTACAACACGTTCAGAGGGTTACAACAGGTTACTCAATCCTCAGAAACGAACTAAACCGCACAGACCCCTCTCTCACATCGTCTTTTTATGGTGCTTCTTCTTCTTCTTCCACCTTTCAATTTGGTACTTCATTGGAAAACCAATGAATTAGGATCGGCAAAATACTACAATTCACAGGCAGCAACCGAGTCCCTTCTCCCAAATTGTCCTAATTGGTCCCTTCGTAAACTCCTTTTATTTGGGTTTTACAACAATCTCGTTATTCATTTAGCCTATATAAGAGGAGTACTAACACCGGGTCATTGTTCACAGCCGTACTGGAAATTCTGATGTGGAGCTCTCGTTGCAATGCATAACATGTTAATAGCACATGGCATGGCCGCATTATAGTATGTATTAATTACTGCAACTTCTTCTTCGAAGAGTTTCTTCTTTCTATTGTTTTTATTTTGGTAACAAAAACAAATTTATACAGCTCCACATGGTAACGAAATGGCAATGCAAAGTAAGATAAACTATTCAAACAGATATAGAATGTACATACAACACACGCTATGTTCGTGGCAGATGTAAACTTCCTCCTCACTTTCTTCTCCCGAACTTCCTCTCCACTATCGATCCCCCTTGCACAAAGGAAGAAGACAATGATTTTTTTCAGGACCTCAAGGTTTTATTTCTCCATCTTTTTCTTTGGTTTTTACGATTTTTCCTCTCTTTAGTTTTGTTTTCCCTCTTTTCAGTTTTTAATTCGGGTTTTTTATTTTTTTTTTTATGTGTAATCAATTTTTGTGATCTTCTTTCTTTTCAATATGTAATTGGGTTTATGTATGTTTTTGGAGTATGGGTTTCTCTCCTGCACATGTTGCGTTCTTGAATTACTTCCATTATTGCGTTACAACTCTTTTGTTATTTTCTTATATTATTGGATATTTCAGTTTCTGATTGCATGAATCTTGCAATCCACTTTAATTTGTAGAAACATGCTGATTCACTCTTTTCATTCTCTTTGTTTCTCTGCAGATTTATGAAGAAGGATTTGACTTTGAAAAATCACTTTAAGCACTAGAAAATTTATCTTCCATTGATAGGTTTTCAGAATGTTGGATACTAAAAGTTGAATCATTTATTCTCAAATGGTAGTTTATTGACTTGCTTACTAATTAGTATGGTACATTGGCAACATTCGTTAGTTAGATTCAGTGAATTTTATATGAAATTGGAGCGGGCATGATTCCTTTGTCCACTTCATGCATGCTAAAAGCTCTACTTCACAGTATGGTACGTGTGATGTGAAGAAGAGCTTGAAATGTCTTTTTAGTTCTCAATTAGGTCATCCTGTAAAGCTTCCAAATCCATTTCTTAATTCATGTCTATTTTCTTATAGGTTGTGCTACAAAGTTACCTATTTTTCATATCAGATTTTATTTTGAATTTGTGTTTGTAAGCATTAACAGAGTCTGCAGTAGAAATGAAGTCAGATGACGTTGTAAACTTCCATCCCCGTTCGTCAAAAGGTGTGTGGATTCTTCATTACACCAATTACAGGTATGCCTCTGATTTTCTCATACTATTTCCAATTTTCGGTATCACACATAGGAAAGTATAGAGTTCTTGATTTTTCATATTGCCTTCATATGTCGAATGTCATCTGAATTTAGTTGTAGTTAATTTGTCAAAATTTGTTGTCGTTAACTTCTTGAAATGACAGCCTTAGTGTTTGCCCAGCAAATTTTGTGAATTCCAAACTTCGCTTATAATTGTAGTCACGTAAAAATTTCCAATTGGATTTGTTCCTCGGCCGTACTAATATAAGGCTTTTTAGCTTAAATGGTCTCTAAGATGTACATAACACATCACTTTGGTCTCTGAGATTTGAAATCAATAGAAATGGTTTCTAAGATTGTCAACCATTAATCATTTTGGTTCTTCCATGCAAAATTATATTAAATATGATCAAAATAACAACTATACCCTCAATTTAGTAAACAATGGGCCGAAATGATTTGACAAAAATTAAGGGTATTTTGGTCATTTTATTCTTATTTAATGGAGATTTTTCAAGGAATGACCAAAACGATTGATAGTGGACAAACTCAGGGACCAATTCTATTGATTTGAAATCTCAGGGACTAAAATAATGAGTTATGCAAATCTTAAAGACCATTTTGGCTAAAGAGCCCAAATATATAATAGTTGTTCTTTTGCTTTTATGTAGAATTAAGAAGATTGTTTTGCCCCTTATGTATCCTGCTCCTTCTGTTTCATGAAGTTACCAAGAAAAAGTACTTTGTGATCATTTTCTTTTCGTCTTTTATAGTCAAGTGATGTGTAGATAAAATTTGTCTTTTATATTATTCTAATAATGTTTGTATAGTTCTATATACCAAATGAAGGATGTGAGTTCCACATAATATAAAAAGATCTTTACAAAAGTGTAATACAAGGCTACCACATGACATGTGGTTTTGACATATGTAAAAGATCGTAGAGGCTCATAGCGCCTGTAATTAAAAAAAAAAGAAAAAAAAAAGGCCTCTTGTATGCACTAGAGCACGTGCGGAGAGGCTAGTATGAAATAGAAAGCCCAAAGGCAATTCAAATACAAGCATAGTCCAAAGAAAATACAACAAAAATGTCCAAAAAGAGCAAGCCTATAACAACAAAAACCCTAAATTTGGAAGACTACTACCTCCACCTCAATAACTGCACCGCCATCGCTGATTCACCACCACCACCAAGAGGAAGAACCCACGAAAAGCTGGACAAATCGAAAATGGGGGTAAGCGAGCGAGCCACCCGCACAAAAGACGATCCCATAATCCTACCAATTAGTACTAAACACACTTTAACAACCACCAAACACCAAAATGCGCAACCGATGAGAGACATGCTATGGGCCGAGTAGCAAAGGTCGACGGTGAAGAACTGACGACGGGAAGAAGCAACAGAGGAAGAAGGAGGCATAAAGGCCCAGATCTGAGACAGGAAACTCAAAATTAAGAGAATTACTGAAAAGAAGGAAGATAAATAAGCCTGAAAAAACTGTGGAAAGGTGACCAGAACTATGTGAGGCAAGAGAGAGGCTTGGTAGAATTAGGTTGGTTTTGGTGGGGGGGGGGGGCGATGTAGGTAGTGGGCCATAGGGGAGAAAGAAAATGAGGAAGAGAAGGCGTTGCCAGCCGACCCAATCAAAGAGAAAGGAGTCAGCAATGAAGCATGGGATTTTAAGGGAGGTTTCTGTGCGAGAGAAAAGAAGATGACTAGGGTTACTAGTATTATGTACTTTTGACATGATTTAAACAAAAAACCAACTTATATTTGTTCGCATAGTCACAATGGTAAAAATTGCTCCAGCCACAATTTCTAAATGCAACAGTAAATGTAATACAAAGAACATTATTAATGCAAAATGCATGAAAAACCAAATCTTGAAAATAAATGAGAAATGTGCAAATCCACCGGTCCACCACTTGGATTGCCATTGAAACACCTCAAATATAGAGGAAAATTTGATCATATTATTATTACACGACCAATTGCATAATTTTTTGCACACAATATTTTGTACAAATTTACGTTCTTTGTAACAGCCAACAATCTCCAGTGCCCGCCTGGAAATTTTATACTCTCCTTTAATACCTTTCTCTGCTGTGGGCCCCATCTGCGTTCTGATCCGACGGATTGTATTTAATCTTCCTCTGCGTCAGAAAGCAGCACAGGAAACGCGAGCCGTCCGTTGGAGGAGCCTTCAACACCTGGCTTCTTGTTCCCGCCAATTCGCTGATCGTGTTCAGCTCCTTCAGAGGCGGCAACGGCGTCTCTGGTGATGACGCCACCGATTCGCTCAAGTCCGAGTTTTCCGTCGATTCAGTGCAAGAGTTCTCCTTCGAATCGCTGGAGTAATTCTTCGATCTGCTTGTCATGCTGTCGCGTCGCCGGCGCCGGAAGCTCTCTCCCATTCCCATCAGGTCGCGGTACCCGATCGCAGGCAGCTCGCTCACCGCAGGAGCCAGACTCGAGCCGTCGATCACCAACGCGGCCACATTCAACACGCCTCGGAATCTTCCAGAAGGTCGCCGGATTTGGATCGCCGTAAACGATGGAATGGTGGACGAGACGTCGAGAAAGTTGTTGATCAGAAATCGGACGGTGCCGACGAGGTGATCGCGGAAGCATCCGACGGCATAGATCTGGACCGAGACCTGGGAGGTCTCGCTGGAGAGGAATCCGGACGGGACCTTGAAGAGGCACCGATCATTCCATGTCGGATTCTCACCGCCCACCTTGTCGAGCCGAGAGCGGATCTTGTGGGCGGAGTCGACCCAGGCGAGAGCGTAGGTCTGCATGCGGCGGAGGGTGACGGAGGGAGCCTTGAGACCCTGGGCGGAGACGAGGTTGATCTCCAAGACGTGCACACGATCGTCGTCTCCGTTTTCTTTCTTCATCATCCTCGTCGTCGGTTCTCAGGCGGAATTGGAGGGCCGAGATACGAGCAAGAAAGAAGGGGAAGAGAAAACGGACGGCCTTGATGAGATTCAAAAACGGGGACGTCGTCGGCGCATGGCTTGCCGGTGGAGGGAGAGAGGTGAGAGGGAGGAGGCGCAGTAAAAAAACAGACAGTTTGGGGGATGGCGGGTCCTGATTAGACTGGGGCAATATTCGTGTAGGGTAAAAAATGAAGTGGATGGCTTGGGTTTGTGGCCAAGGTCCCAGTTGCGGTGGTTACAGGGTGGATGATGTAGTTGGAATCAAATTTATGCGCTGAAAAGTAAAAAATTAATGGGGTTAATTAGAAGCATTCCATTTTTTATATGTTATGTTTGATGATTCTCCTATTGTTGGGAGCTTTGATGGCATGATGAAGTGTTCACAAGCCACGTCAATCGATGTTCCATCCAAACACCGAAAATGGTACGAACAAAGGTGATTACCATAAACAAAAACTTTATTTTTAAAAAGATATGTTAGTTGCCATTTAGTATTACGGTCTGCTGGTATTCCTTTTCAATTAGAAGTGAAAGGTATTAGGTTCGAATTTCGTGGATTACAAATTCGATACCAAATTAGGTTGCCTATTGTTTAGTTTAGTCGAACTCTCTATTCCCTTAGTATAAAAATAGCGACATACTAAAAAAAAGAAAGATATCTTATTGAAAAATTATCACAAGCATAAATAAAAACAGAGAAAATGCCAAACATTGTCAATTTTATATGTGAGATCCATGATTTTTCAAGGTCGGACTCAGATGGACCAGAACATAATTATCTCACAAATTCGGTCGTGGACTCAACAACTCTGAGCGGAGATGGATTAACTCAGTAGCAATGCCACCATTATCTTGTTCCAGAGCAGCGGGCAAAGTTGAAGTGACTTCGCTGAGAATGACCATGCTTATTCTGCAAGATTCAAGGGTTTGATCTGGATTAGAATCAGCCAGATCCTCTATGTGTCTTGGAGTTCTTACAATCTATGAATTTATGTGTGCTCCAAGTAATCATACTACTAAAGAGGATGCAATATTTACTTTTAAATATTATGTAGGATTCTCCCAGCTTAGGGATTCTATCCTAAAAATGTCTCTCTCGACTAATATAAATATATTGTTCAAGGGTTTGTACATCTCTAGTAACACAATCACTGCACTGTTATTCTCTTGCCCACTACTTGAGTCTTATACTTGCTTACTGACTTGTCCGTCAGAAGGCCTTTGGCCAGCAATGACACCCTCCCCCCGTTCTTAGGCTTGCTTACTGTGGTTTGTTGTTTTACAAGTTACTTGAATTTGTGCCTTAACCATCTACAGGTGGTGCGCGAATTTGGTTCCAACAAGATCAACACCTTCCAGAATCAAGAAAGCAACATGCTAAATGTTTCATACTTATGATGCGAGCTTTGATAACCTATATAGTAGGGATTCTTCTGTGTGAGAGGTGATTTGGGATCGTGTGAAAGAGAGTGAGACAAAGAATGGGCCAAAGTTAGCATAACAAATCAAGAAGGGTGGGCCATGGTGTTGTTTTGTCTCTGTGCCATAAGTAATAGGTGGTCTGGTACCGGACGCTAGAATTTCTCCCTAAATAAAACAATTTTTTGGAGAAAATCTTTTGTCCCAAAAAAAAGAAGTTTTAACAAAACACTTTCGGTACTGTTCACTTTTAACGAAAAACTACGTTTTAACTTTTTCCTGGTACTATTTACTACACCTTTATTTGTTCTTTTTCATTAAAACTAAATTTTTTCTTGGACTTTTCGATAGTTTTTCTTAAAAAAAATAAAAAAAATAAAAAAAAAAGAAAAGAAAAATTGTTTGCCAATACTACATGATAGATTGTTATTTTTCCCTAAAACAAAAGTTTCATGGAACTTCAAAATCTCGTCTAAACACACTGTAAAAATTGTTTGCCAATACTACATGATAGATTGTCATTTGTTCAAATTTGGACTTGCTTTAAACCTTAACCGAAGATTAATAATGAGATGAATCCATGACAGATTGTTTACCAACTAATTAGGGCCTTCCTCTTTTCTTCTTAAACCCAATTAGCTCTACGTTCAAACTCTCTTCTTAGTACAATATAAAGAGTAATATCGCTTGTATTAAAAAATATTATCAGGTGGCAAGAGTTTAAAATATAAACTGACATCACTTTGCTAACATTTATTATCCCATTATCTTTTTTTTTTTTTTTTTTATCCTGTTCCTCTTTTATTTTTTATATCTTTTTTTCCTCAAATACAAGATAGAGAGATAAGCATCTTTTTGTTTTTGTATTTATTTTTTTTTAAGAATAGATATGCATCTTTTCTTGGATATTCTCATGACAACCCTAGAAAAAAAAAGATAAACATTTATTTGTTTTTATTGTTTTTAGCGTTAATATTAAGGAAAACTAATGAAAAAGACTTGAAAACTTTGAGTTTTAACAATAAGGACAAAATAAAGGGTAAAGTGAATGGTACCATGATGGACTTTTTAATGTAGAAATGTAATTTTTTTTTGTTAAAGTGAATAGTACCAGGAGCTTTTCGTTAAAGTTCCCTTAATATTATTCTTTTCTTAATAGAAAAATTATACTATTGTTATTTCTCTTTTTTAAGACAACATATTTTTAGGGAGCCTTACTTATAGAGACATAAATATGTACCATATTTCACACAACTTCACACCTTTTAAAACATTACAAGGAGGGACAAAAAAAACCCACTAACAGAAAACCAAGCCCAACCCAAAAAGAAACAGACCAACTAAATTATGGCCCATGCCACTCGACTATAACTGTTAATAAATGGCCACGTTAACCACTACACGACAAAAATCATAAAAACTAACTGGTTTCCTTTCCCTTTTCCCTTATTCAATACCCGTGGTTTCCTCTTCCCCAAACCTATCATTTCAAATTCCTATCACACAAAAGATACTTCCCAAAAAAAAAACCCTAAAATGCTCATAGTTTCCGACACTTTCAAACTAGATTTTCAGTAAGTGATTCACAAAATTCAGCCGAATTTCCAGAAAGATCAGTGTTTCAAAGGTTTTCCTACTTCTCAGAATCGTCCTTTTGCATGATTATATTTCGAACTCTATCAAAAATGAATGCATTATCAAATATTTGGATGCATTATCAAGTGTTTTTGCATAAGACAGTTTTCAAAACAATCCAAAATGCATGCATTATCAAGTGTTTTTTGCACTTGATTTTACAAAAAATTCAATGTTCCAGTTCGAGAAAAAATAATTTCAATGTTTTAGATGTTTCAGTTTCGCTTTTTTAGTTTATATGTATATTGATTCTCCAACATCTGAAAAAGAAAGTGACTATGCGTATAAATTTTGTGAGTTAAAATATTAACCGTCTAGCTTCGATGTTGCACTTTGAACTGATGCTATATTTTGTACTGATGCTGCACTTTGTAAATTAATTTTGGTTCACTTTCTGTTTGTAAATTGGTTCTGCACATAAATATGTTGTAGAAAAAGAAAAAAGGAATATGCATCAAGCTTGTGTTAAAACAATTATGCATCTACATTGTATGTTAACAACCAATTCTGCATCTATCTTGTTTTGCTAATTGATGATGCATCTACTTGTGAGCTAAGCGATATTGCATCTACTTGTTTGCTAATTGATGTTGCATATGGTTTGCGCGCTAAGTGATGCTACATATAGCTTGTGTGTTTAGTGATGTTGCATCTAGCTTGTGTGCTAAGCATCTACCCTTTGCATCTAGTTTGTCTTTTATATGACTTCTTATTATTTGATAATTTATTATACTCATGATCGTTTCATTTTATTTATGAAGATGACGCCAAAAGTAAAACATTTTGCAATAAAAAAAAATCACCGCCAAAATTGATGTGAAATATTCTAACACGCAAATTAAAACCCTATGATTGTAGTATATGAAAGTAGGGATCGTTTTAGGCCGGGGATTAGAAGGGATGCTAATCAACAAAAATACGACTCAAAAACACTAAACTAGACTCTATAGACTTAAAACTAACTCAAAACACTCAAAACAACAACAAGCAATCAAAAAGACTCAATTCTAGACTTAACAAGTGATTTTGACGAAAATACAACTTAACTTGACTCAAAAGACTAAAAGAAAATAGATTTTGACTCAAATAACAAGACTAAATGAAAGGGGGATTGCTTTTGACGAATTTAAAACTTAAAACAGAAACTTTGTATAAAACACTTTGTAAAAACGAATTTGGGTGAATTAAATGGGTGAAAGGCTAGTTAGAGGGTTCATCTCCACACATGACACATATGCATACAAATCGATTTCTAGTTATTATTCCTTTAAATCATGAATGACAACGCCCCAAGTTAATTGTATCGCACAATCAACCATCAGATTTTCCTTATTTCATTGAATTAGATGGAATACGCATCGCAACCAAATTATCTTTCTCAAGTTCCCTATATGAAACGCATGATAGAGATACATGTCAAAAGTCATTAAGTTCTATGAAAATCATAAGCATTGACAAGGTATTCATCACTATGAAACGCATGAGACTCATACCAAGGATTTACTTAACACGATTGTGACTAGTAACCTCCACTACATGTGAATATAAGTGAATAACTATTACGTGAAACTCCCTTATACTCTAGCATCAAATTCATGCATGCAAATTAAGTGTCGACCCTTAACCAACATACTGAGGTTGCACTTTAATACACAAATCTACACAAAAAGAATAACCTGATTCTCCAAAATACATAAATATTGAAATTCAAAACGATATCACAAATCTGTAATTTATAACAATTACAAAAACTTACCATTATTTGCATTTTTAGCACAACAGCCAAGAAGAGTACCAGTATATCTTCTTTTAAAAAACGTACCATCAAGAAACAACATTGATCTACACCATAGGAATCCTTTAACACAAACTCCAAAAGATGTGAATAACCTTTCAAACCGATTACTATCATTATTAAGTTCTAGTGCACAAAATGATCCATCATTGACATGCTCAAACTGATCAAGGTACCACGGCAAAAATCCAAAGGAGAGAGCCTCATCACCATTAACCTCATTATATGCAATCTCTTTGTCATGCCAAGCTGCAGGGTATTTAACATCAAGACCATAACTCTCATTCATTTCTCTCATAACATCCTTTATCTTAATAGACAGATTCGAACGAACCTTGGCAGCCAACAAAGAGGACAAAACAGAAGGGCCAAACCTTTAATTCTCATTTTGACGAATACGTCCAGTGCAAGTATGAATATTATTTAATTTTTTAATGATAAAACAATCACTAAGCTGTTGCACAACAGCTTGAACACGCCATTGACAGCCCTGCGACAATTTCTTTGAGTAAATAGCAGTAACACGCTTCCAATCATTCCTAGTGAACTTGAAAACAAAACCAACCTCAATAGAGTATTGTGTAAGTTTTCTA